TTGTTGGCAGTTAACTGCCAATCTTAGTGGGCAGTTAACTGCCAATCTTAGTTGGCTGTTAACTGCCAATCTTAGTTGTCAGTTAATTTGCATATAGCCCTGATTAGCCAATGAAAAGGGTATCGTCGTACGCCAATTACCATTTTTCTCTTTTATTATATAGGATATTTATAATCTGGAGAGTAAGCAAGTTTCCTGAGTTCTGTGAGTTAGTCTATAAATAATCAAACATGAGGAGCGGGTGTTGGGAAACCTCTATTTTATAGCCAGTTGTTAGAAATGCAGGACTGGGATTGCTACTGGCATCTGAAGAAAGGATACAGTCTTCACCTGTAAAATCTGACACTGTCTCCACAATGATAGTGTCAAAATTGAGTTGATTGTGGATAGCCACTTGATGTCCAGATAATTGTTTGCTGGTGGTGCGGAACCCCTCACTTCATGAATTAGAATTGGATCTGGACACATAATGTAAGGTGTGTTTAAAACTCTTTGTAAGTAGAAGTTAGAAGCAGACAATTTACTTAGTGGGAAATTCTATTTAACATGAGTAATATAATGCAGATTAGAGATGTTTTTTGAATTTTGAGCTAATACAGTCACGCACCACTTAATGAGGATATGTTCTGGAAAATTCACCTTTAGGCATATTGACATTGTGTGAACATTATAGAGTGCACTTACATAAACCTAGATGGTATAGCCTACTACACAACCTAGACTACATGGAATAGCCTACTGCTTCTAGGGTATACACCTGTACAGCAAATTATTGTATTGAAGACTTTAGGCAACTATAATTCAATGGTAAGTATCTGTGTATTTAAACATAGAAAAGGACCAGTAAAAAGTATGGTACAAAAGAAAAACCGTGGTACACTTGTATGGGGCACTAACCATTAATGGAGTCTGTAGAACTGAAAGTTGCTCTGGGTGGGTCAGTGAGTGAATGGTGAGTGGATGTGAAGCCCTAGGACAGTGATGGCGAACCTTTTGAGCTTGGCTTGTCAGCATTTTGAAAACCCTAACTTAACTCTGGTGCCGTGTCACCTATAGAAATTTTTTGATATTTGCAACCATAGTAAAACAAATATCTATATTTTTGATATTTATTTTATATATTTAAATGCTATTTAACAAAGAAAAATCAACCAAAAAAATGAGTTCGCGTGTCACCTCTGACCCGCGTGTCATAGGTTTGCCATCACTGCTCTAGGACACCACTGTATACTGCTATAGACTTTATTCACACTGTGCATTTAGGCTCCACTAAAGTTATAAAACAACATGAGTTTAAATCAAGCACAAGAGAAAATATGCAAACAAGAGACATAAACAGGAGGTGTATGAGGCTGACATAACATACTATTCTCCTTTACAGGGAATTTTTTGTTTAATAAGTAAAAAAGAATACATTCTAAAATAATGATAAGAAGTATAGCATGATAAATACATAAACCAATAACATATTTATAATTACCAAGTATGTACTATACATAATTGTGTGTCTATACTTCTATATGACTGGCATTGTGGTAGATTTGCTTACACAAACATCACCTCAAACACAGGGGTAATATGTTCTGCTATGATGTTTTAATGGCTATAACATCACTAGGCTATAGAACACTTTCAGCTCCGTTATAATCTTATGAGACCATCATTGTATATGTGATCCATCATTCACTGAAATATCATTGTATGGTACATGACTGTATTTTATATATGAGAGAGATGAATTTTATAAGAAGTCAAACACAGTGATGCCATTTGCTATGTTTTATTTTACTATTAGCTTGTTAAACATAACATGCAAATAATAAAGAAACATACATAAAATTTTAAAGTGAAAAATAATTCTAGAAAGTTTTTCTAGGTAACTATATATATTCTTAATACTAACAATTCTGCTTTAAATGCATGTGGCTTCATGAATTTTGTTTAGTATTTCACAAAATCATCGGTCTCAAAATTTACTACCTGCTTTTCAGCTGGACAAATTTGCGCATATTAAGATCGTTTGATTAAAGACAGTGAACTTCCATATTTATGTATTCCATACTCTTGGGCACATTAAGTTAACATTTAGAGATTATAAAACTCGGCTGACTTCCATGCAAACAGAAAAAGGCTTTGCACATCATTTGACAGGAGATGTAAAAAGCCCTAAATTTACCATTAACGCATTGTTTGTTGTATATGTGTGAGCATGTGTTGTGCTTGTGATGAAATAGGCCTGCTTTTCATCTTTTCTTTGTAAAAAAGTAGTAAAATGTTTACAAAACATTTTCTCTCAGAATTTAAAATTCATGGAAGTACTAAACAACAGCAAAAATGGACACTATGAAAAAAACACACAAAAATACAAGCATAAGATGTTGCTCCAGGATACACCTCAATGTAATTGAAATTAATTATTAGTGATAGTGATTTCATTTGCTACACGTAGACATTCATACATATTAGGTGGCAGACTAGTTTGGGTGATATTACGGTTGCCATCCAAGCGCAAATGCTTGATTTTGGAGTAGGAAAATGGTCCCAGGATCTTACAGAAGCTCTTTACTTCAAGCTCTGGAAAATAAAAAATAAAAGATTTTAATAATATTTTCTTTTTTATTACATGGCTTAAAATAGTCATTAAAATTTGTCCAAAGTCCATAGTAATATCTAATAGGATTTCTTCCCCCTCTGCCCCCTTTTTTGAAGTCATTTGTTTGGTGTATATTTGAATTCAAAATTACTTAACAAAATATGTCAGACTAGCAAATGATACAAAAATATTTAGTAAAGTAATTATTGTGGGTCAGGATGGCCAATTAAATTTTTCAAATAATGATATTTAGTGTAAGTTCTTAGATTAGAAAGACTAAGTGCATAATAGTATCTAAGAATTTTTAGAAATATTTAGACTGATGATATGTAAAATTGTGCTGTTGTATGAGTCATCTCGCCAATATAAGCATCCTGAGCTTTTGCATCTGGAAATTTGAAGGGTTAACTAGATGACCTCTAAAGTGTTTTCCTACTGGCACACATCATGACAGATTCAAAGCTCCAAGGCAAAATCCAAGTCATGGAATGACCACCATCTGAGCCACGTCCTTTCCTGTGGTTAGAAAACTGCCACAAGAGAAAAACTGATTTAGTTTTTAATGGAAACAAAGATTGTTACTAGATTGCATGGTTTATGTGTGTACATAGAAGCTGTCTATGTTTGCTCAAGTCTATTTCAGATTAACCTTATCTAGTCCTTTGTCTTGATATTTTCTTTTATTCTCAAATTCTAATCAACAGTGACTTCAGTGGAAGCCCAAACACACTCTGCTCCTTACCTCTCTGATGCTGTCTTAAATAAGTCATTAGTCAAATTGCAGAGATCTTTGTTATGCTACCTACCACTAAGGAAGTATGGAACAATGGGATAAAACATGGCCTTAGGCCTATGTTAATGTTCTGCCTTTGCCATTTACCAAATGGGTGGCTTTGGAATATTGATGTGATCTTCTTGTTAGACATAATATATCCATCACACTGTGTTGCATGTATATTAAACCAATTAAGGTATGCAAAGCACCTCACAGAGTGTTAGCACATAATATATACTACATAATTAAATTTTGTGGGTTTTTCTCTTTCAAATTATGTCACCATAGAAAGGTCTGTTATTAAGCTAGTGTCTTAGACTTGCAAGTCTGAAAGATGAGAAATAGCCAAAGCTATAGATTTTCTAATAGTAGAGAAATCTAAAGGGGGTCTTTTATCTAAGAAAATGTAGACAATTGATATACATAAGTATTACATGGCACAATAAACTAAGTCAAAGAAATGCATGCAAAGACAAATGGCAACAATACCTGCAAGGTATACCTGGTATACCTAAATGTCCAGGTCAAGGAAGGAAGGGCGGACACTATTCATTTCCAAATGGCCATATATGCTGGGCACTGTGGTTTCTATCCCAGCCTGGCACTGAGTGCCTGTCAGCATTTCGCCCATAGACCACCTTTCCCATTTCCCACATTGGCTCTTCCTTCTCACACTCACATAACGCGGCCTTATTGTCACCCCTCCAGATTCTCCTGCATCTGTAGCTCTTCCCTTTCTTACCTCAGAGAATGAGGTGACCCTGCCCCTGATGCTGATCTCCACCCACCACATCTAACAGCATTTCTTCAGCCCTCAAATACTAAAACATCTTAAATCCCATTAGCATGTTGGCTTGTCTAAGTAGCCATACTCTTAACCACAAATGTTTATAATGTGGGATCCTATATTGCCAGATAGTGGGTTTTTTACTAGAAACAATTATAAGAGTCCAGTTCTAATAGCTTGACTGTGTATTGTATGATAAGCAAGTTTTCTGGGTGTAAGAAAAAGCATGTGGCATTTTAGAATTGGCAATCATGGTCTCCTTCATGAGATCACCCTCACCACCCTAGGCGTTACAGGGAACTTGTAGAATTACAAATTATCATGTTAATAAGGCACAGTGCAATTTTTCTAAAAGGAATATCAATATTTTCATCCAGTATGACCAGACAACCAACTTTCATGGCATAAAGATGCTCAATTTGAATAGATTATTTAGCAGATACAATTGTTTATGTGTGAATCAGTGTTTCGCACTTGATTTTTCTTTTAGCAAGTTTGTCCAAGATCTTTGGTTTCTCTTCTGCCAAGCTCTGTTAAAGAGAGAGGTGGGGGGCGGTAAATGTACATTTCCCACCGAAATCTGTATTGCTCAGATTGAAAATGCCCCAGAAGACAAGAAGAGGGCACAAACAGTCCAAGTGGATCAGATCAAACCCCCACCCAGAAAATAAGTGAAAAATAAACTGTATCATCAAGAGAAAGGGAGGAGAAACTGTGGAAAAATCCAATGTGGTGGAGGGTTGTGTATAAGAAAAGGAGCTCTGTAATACTATTTTTAAAATGTTCCAAATCCTTATCATGTGCCTTCCCTCCTTAATCTTCCTCACAGTCTCATAAGAACATTGGGAAGCCACACACACCATGACAGGGATAGATGATGGTCATGATGGCAGAATACCATGTTGAGTCCCAAGTAAAGATGTCAGAGAGGACCATGAGGATATCAGGGCTGCTCTAGGGATAAGCCGGAGGGAGGCTTGAAAGCCTCTGCTAGCCATGCCTCTTCGGCACTCCTTTCTTCCCCTTCGGCTAGATCTTGCCAAGAAATAAATGTAGGACACAAATCTACGTCATGGAGAAGAGAAATAGTAGATAAATATCAAGTGATGACACAGCAGGATTAATTAGCCCAGAGTATTAAAATTGAAGAAATTAATGATTAAATTCTATGATCCTAATGGTTTATTTGAACACTCCAAAGAAAGGCCAGATTTTGGATAAATAACTAAGCTGCAATTTTCTATATTTGAACATTTCTATACTTGAAAGGGATATTTTCTTGGCATTTTAGTTAGTTTTTTAAGTGGAGCCAGATGGAATCCATATTTGTGTTGCACAGCTTACGTGTTTAAAGACATGCGGCCACATCCATCAAACACAAGCACAGCTTTCTACTTACTTTCAAGTTGATTGACCTCCAGGTAATAGTTTTCAAGGTGCTCATTGACAGTGGGTATGTTTTTCAGCTTATTATAGGAGAGATCCAGCTCAAGCAGAGATGATATATTAAAAGAATTTCCAGGTATTCCACTATCGGCCAATTCATTATGAGATAAACGCAGATACTGCAGTCCCTTAAAACGCTTGAAATATTCATCAGGGATGTTGCTGATCTTATTGTTGTCTAAGTAGAGAGTTAGAAGAGATGTTGGGAGACCAGAAGGCAGTTTGGTCAACTGATTGAAGCTCAAGTCAAGGTACTCAAGGGACTTAAGGCCTTTAAAAGAAGCTGAAATGTCTTTCAGCTGGTTGTGCTGAAGATGGATGAAGGTCAGGTTCACCAGTCCATCGAAAGAGCCGAGCTTTGTGATCTTGTTATGACTAAGCTGCAGGTCCTCCAGAGATTTGGGAAGTGGGCCCACAGATTCTGTCAGGTTGTTGTAATTGATATGCAGCTTCTTCAGTTGTTTCAGTTTAGAGAAGACTCCTTTTAATTTAGAATTTTCTAGAAGGTTATGATCTAGAATGAGCCACTGTAGATCGGTTACATTTTCAAAGGCCTTTTCATCAATATGGTCAATCTGGTTATGCCTCAGGTAAAGGTACTTGATTCCAGGAGGCACCATTGGCACAGTTTTCAATTTCAGCTCATCACAGTACATGGCCGATGGATAGCTTGCAGGGCAGTTACATTCTGGGGCGCAGTTTGGAGATAATTGCCCATACATTGATAGGGGAAAATCGTAGTCATCATAGTATTGGCCGCTGGCACCACTGATTAGTGCTAATAGCAGAGTAAATGCACCGAGATTCATTTTTGGCGAATGCTTTGAATCCTAAGTAAAGTGGAAACATATAATAAAATAGCATACTTTAAGTAAGTGAATGAATATTCAATTTACAATGTTAAATTTATTAGAAAGATGTGTATTTTATTTATTTTTTTATTTTTTTATGAATCCAAGGATGTCTTTTTAATTTTTATTTAAGCATGAGGTTTAAGATGTATGTGTACAACTTGTGAGTTGGTGAACAATTTAGGCTTAGATTGCATACACACGCGCCCCCTACTGGGCAAGCCAGGCCTAACCTATCCAGTCAATCTCTCCAGGGCCTTCCTTAATTTAATGATTTCCTGTAAGAGGTGTCTGGCTAGTGCCCATTGACCACCATGCTAAAACACTACCTCAGAACATCCTTCAAAACCACACACAAAAAAAAATGAAAATTAGGAGAAAATTGTAAACTGTACCTTTTACCCTAGCATTCAACATCATTAAAATGTCTCATTAAGAAGACCCTTACTGGGAACATGAGCAACCTGTGGTTTTGCTGGAAGGGAAGCTGTTCTTAACTTGTGTGGCCAGAGATGGAGGGTGGCAAGGTGGAGGGATATGGGAGGGGGGAGTACATTCCTTTAAAAATGTCTGGTTATTGTTGTTGGTTCTGAGGGAAGGTAACAGAATTCTTAGTAGGGTGTGCATGGATATTATTTCAACTTTTGTTTAGCATTCTAGACTTTCAGGCACATTACAAAACTGTAATTCTGAAATTAATATTTAGTATATAAGTTTTAGTAAAACTAATGTTTATTAATCAGAAAAATGTCACAAATTCTAAAGATTTTTAAACCTAGAAAGTGATCCAGCTTAATAGAAAAAAAGATATTCTTTTCCAAGTTTTGAATTAAAGTTTTCCTTTCTGTCAATGACTCACAAGTTCTCTACCTTCTTCATGCCAAAATTTAAGAAGGCATGGTTCACTTGTTTGGCTATTAGTGCTCTTACAGAGTGGAAGTGGGAGAGATCTGGGCATTGAGCAAAGTGTGTATTTTACAGTGGCATTAGGAGCCATGGAAGAATGGATAAAATTGAGAATATAAATTAAAAACAATATGTAACAATGATCTAGAAAGAACATGTCCAACGTGAGGCTCAATAAAGTATATTTTAATTGTTTGGAGAGCACAAGGTCAGAAATTTAGGTAAAGGATAATAGCATACAAGAGTTGGACTTTCCTAGAGTGAAAGCTATGGCTGAGGAGAAGTTGGTAACCCTGAGAGGGAAATCCTTACTGTGAAGCACCATCTACATGCCATAGGCAATAGATCTTCCTGTGAGAAGTATGGTATAAGCTTTTGGATCTAGGGAGTTTGGGATAAGTAAGATTTTTAGTATTAGGAAATTTAAACACCTTTGCTTTAATGTGGAATTACAAGGCACTTTATGTTAGCAGATGAAACACTAAAAAAAGGTGTTAGAACACTGACAGCTAACACGATGTAATTTGTAACTAGATTTTTTAACTAACTTATTCCCAAAGATAATGATGGAGTCATTTAATTTAGTTGACAAGACTTGGCAATGAGCATAATTAATATTGCAATATAAGGTACAGTATGTTAATGTAAAGATTTGTCTTGCTTATTAATAAGCTTTGAATTTATTTTATTTCAGTATACACTAAAATAGACATGGTAACTATAATGGATTGAATAGTAATGAAAAACATGCTTTCATATTTTTTGGCAGAATGAATCCAAAGAGAGTTTGTAGCTGTATAAGGACTCCACTATGAAGCAAAAGTGCACTTTATTTACTTTCCTCCCAGTTTTGGCAAATACCTGTGGTTATGGAGGAAATGCTTTTAAAAAAAAATGTTTCCCAGAATTTCTGCAAAACATATCCATTTTAAAACATACATCCAAAAAACATCTTTAAAATTAACAAAATAGAAATAAGTAATCCAAAAGAGGGTCTATGTCCTTAAGCTCACATTTTATAACAACGTAAAATATTTATGGCAAATTGTAACAAGCTATAGCAATATGTATGTGGCGAAAATATTTTTAATACTGCTTAAAATGACCTTTCTTTGCTGCAAAATTCATTGTAAACATACTAACATATATAACTCATTAGCATAAAATAACAAATATTTTCATTGCCATACATTTTTACTGTCTCATTTAAATATTTTCTCATTCCAACCCTGAAACTTTTTATAACTTCCTTTGTCAAGCAACACAGCATATATTGTAAAACCTTTATCTTAAATCCATGTCATGGAAAACATATTAAGAAAAGTGTGAGAGTAAATGCTCAGAAGGATGGATTTGCTGTTGAACAGCAATTGGCAAAGTTGCTCTAGAACTTTTTCTGTTCCTGTTACAATAAACACTGTCCCAAACAGTCAGCGTCCCCAGTGCTATAGTTAAACAGCACTTACCTTACAGTCTTGACTCTGCTTTCGTTAATTCTTAAAGCAGATGCAGTATGGACAAGAATCCACCAATATATGCTGTGAACTCTGTCAGGGCGGAACTGGCTGCCAGATTCTTAGTGATACAAGAGCTGAAGGGGGGAGACCCAGCCCAGTCACGCCAGACTCTGAATGGAGTTATGTCATTGTGGGATCTGGTGGTGTGGCATGTGAATGCTCTGCTCTCTAATGAAGTGCAGGTGGACTGGTGAGCAAGGACAGCCCAGTACATTCCCTATGGAATGGGAGAGCGATACATGCTTAACTAGCCCAAATGTCATAGCTTTTCACCAAAAACTGAGTCCTGCTGCAAGGGAGGCAATCTAGAGTGAAAACATTTTTCTTACAAAGCTCTTCACTTCTGTAAGCTGTGGCAAAAATTAAATGTGACTCTCTCAGCCAACTGTCATGTTCATCTAAAGGTCTCATAAAACATAAACAGAGTAATTTCAGGAAAATGCAAATGAGCAGACTCAGAGGAATTGAATTCTTTTTGCCTATTACTCCTGAAATCTATATTGATTTATTAGTACTAACAATTTTTGGCCAGGAGAGTAACTTACATTAGTTTCTGAAATATAAAAGTGCATTATTTACAGCCTGATACAAATGATAGATATCAACCTCTCCAGCTTCTAATATTAAGGAGACATGCTTTATGCTTTTCAGGTCTGGAACCAATTGGCAATGTTCTGCCTGTTTCTCATTTTGTGGATTTAATTTAGGAATTCATCCAAAATCTTACTTAGGGATAGTATTCTATAGCTTATTGCCAAAAAGCATAAAAGAGATAAAAATGTATACTCCAATATCACAGAGCAATGATCTTTCACTCTGTCACTGCATGCTAGGGATATACTTTTCAAAACTAAAAGTTATGCAACGTTGTAATCTCTCCAAGGCCTGGTTTGATATATCTTTTGTTGTCAGTTTCTGATGCATGTTTATAGATCTACTCATTTGCTTGTCTATTTCATTTTGTGGTTGTATCAGCTGTATTTATAGGAGGTTTTTTTCCTCCAAAATTTTCATTTATTCAGGTTTATGAGAACTCTTAGAAATAGATATTTTAATATAAGTTGTCATATTGTAAGAATTTTCCCTTTAAAATAATTTAAATATGTCATTTTTAACTATGAAACCTATGGAAAACTATTTAATTTTCATTACCACTAATGTTTTTGCCTGAAAAATTAATATCGGGGTAAATGCCTTCTTTTTGTCATAGAATCATTCGAAAAGAAATAACAATTTTCTTGAAAGTAACATAGAATGGTGAGGTGATTCATAGTATATTTTATTATTATATTAGGAAAGTTATAGAAGACCTTAGTTTTATAATATAGAAAATGAAGAAATCAAGAAAAAAGACAAAATGATTAATCACATAATTAAGAGGCTCAGTTTAAGAGGATAGTAAAAACAATTCTAAACATTAACTTTGAGTTTGTCAAATTATATAATCTGAATTTTTCTTTAAAACGTTCTAGCTATCTACTCCTAGGACTTCTCTTTAAAGAGCAATAACATTTTTTTTCTAAAATTTATGCTTTAAAATCCATATAAGTATTATTAATACATTTTCAGTAGTGGCAATGGAGACTCAGAAATTCTAAATAATTTGCTAAATGTCAACTAACAAGTAAATGGAAAAACAAAATCATCAACATTTTCAATTGTTGGGAAGAGGGTGACAGGACAGAGCTGAGACAAGATAGTTAATATAATCAGTTTGAAATATTTTATAGGCGATATTAATGTCAGTTGAGAAAACCCTGAAATATTAACTAGGAAATAGATTTTAAGTGGTAAAAATTAATTAAGCAGTAGTTTCTTTCCTTTTTATTTAATTTTTAATTGACTTTTTAGAGAGAGAGAAAGGGAAAAGGAGAGAAACATGATGTGAGTGTGAAACATTGATCTGCTGCTTCCTGCACACCCCCTAACTGGGATCAAGCCCAAAATCTGGGCATATGCCCTGACTGAGAATTGAACAGCATGGGACAACACTCAACCAAGTAAGTACCACACAGGCCAGGGCTGCTTTCTTTGTGTGTATAACACACACACACACACACACACACACACACACAGCCACCTCTACATTTTAGACCTCTGGGTGACATATGAACTTTCCATCTGGTGCATGGAGATTCAGGTCATCTGTGGTAATGAAAGTGAGAGGTTTTATCAATAACCAAGTTTAAATGATTGAGTTGCTCCTTAGCTCACCAACTGGATTCCCTCTGTTACCTGAGACCGGCAGGGATGATGAGCACCATTATGATGACTTTACCCACCGCATTCTGAGTCCTACCCTGGACTTGTCAGACCCCCCTGATCCACCACAACATGACTGTTTCATTTGCCATAACCATTTTGATGCAGATTCTGCCTGTTCCAGGCTAGCTAGTGGACTCTGAAAAGTCAGTCCTGGAATAGGAAACAGTAGAACCCAGATTTTGTGGAAAGATAGATACAGATTAGAAACTTTCTGAAGCAACTTGCCAATTGTAAAATGAAAAAAAAATAAAAGTAACTTGATAGGTTAGGTGTCTTCATTTTAAAAATTCAGGAAAAGACACCATGTGTTTAATGCAATTGGTCTAAGTCCTGGCATGACATAAGGGACTGATACATCAAAATGCTTAATGTCTTGCAGGTGTTGTTAATTATTATTCATTGAGTTATAGAACCAAAGATTTTAAACAAATCTCAGAGATTGTCTAATCGATGGGTATTAAACAAATTCTGTGACAGGTCTTTTTATTCTCATGTGAAAAACTAAAGTTTACGTGTTACCAGTAATCCATCCAAACTGTGGCATTGTTCTCCATTTTGGGTAAGTGGATGGCAATCCACATTTCCCTGCACTCTGTGCACAGTGTTATGTGACTGCACCCACCTAAATGAAGTCCTCCGAGAGCATAGAACATGATGAAACAGAATGACATTCCCTATTATTAGAGGAGAAAGTTCCATTTTCATTATCTTATATATTGGGGTTACAAACCAAACTTTTTCTTATTACAAATTACATAAAAGTAATTTGTTTTAGCACATTTGCAAAATACAGGGGAAAAGAAGAAAATAAAAATTTTAGCACATTTAGAGAATACTTACAGGAAAAACATTAATACGAATACTCTAGCTCAAAAATAACAATGTTTCCGTATTTTTTATTATGGTGTGAGTATGTATACGTATAAACTTACACTTTGGTTATCACAATAATATTACAATATTATGTTTATGGTTTTGTAACTTTTTCCACATAACAACTAGCTGTGGATACTTTTATATATCATTAAATATTATTCACTGATGTCATTGTTAATCCTATATACTAAAAGGCCAGTGACTGAACGGCAAAATGACCAGAACTACTGGTTGACCAGTTGCTATGATGTGCACTGACAACCAGGGGTCAGACACTCAATGCAGGAGCTGCCCCCTGGTGGTCAGTGTGTTCCTACAGTGGGATGGCTGATCAGGATGAGCAGCCACTCAGAGGGCAGGATGAGCGGCACTCCCACAGCAGGCCAATCCCCTCAGGCCACGCCCCCTACCAGTGCACAAATCCATGCACTGGGCCTCTAGTTAGTAGATGAAACTCTAGTTAGTAGATGAAACTCTATTGTATTGTTAGTGGATTAGAATTTTTTCTCTCCTCGCATCAATCTTAGTACCATTCTTAATTTCAGCATTTCTTTTGAGCCATGAAACTAGCTTTCATCCTCATAGTCCTTATGCTCATATAGATATATATTTTAAAACTCATTCTATAATTGATTCCATTTCTCCTGGCATTTTACATAAAATATATTTTCAGAATTATCAATAATAGGCTTTATTCTACTATTGCATTCATTCATTTGCATTATAAAAATAACATACATGAATGGCATAGCACACTGACACATTTAACAGGATATAAGGTAAAAATAACTTGTACTCAACTGAATTTCCAATCCCAATCCTTAAAAGTTATCATTGGCCCTAACTGGTTTGGCTCAGTGGATAGAGTGTCAGCCTGTGGACTGAAGGGTCCCAGGTTTGATTCTGATCAAGGGCATGTACCTTGGTTGTGGGCACATTCACAGTGGGGGGTGTGCAGGAGGCAGCTGATCAATGTTTCTCTCTCATCAATGTTTCTAACTCTCTATCCGTCTCCCTTTATCTCTCTAAAAAAATCAATAAAATATATATATTTTTAAAAGTTATAATTGTTTAGATTTTATTATTTCAGAAATTTTAGACATTCCTATATATAAAACAGAATTTCAACTCTCTCTCGAGATCTCTTTTGTCCTATATATCTTGTACTTTTCACCTAAAATATTTGTTTTGTTTTATTAATACATCTGACTTTGTATTATGTTTTATATGGCTACTGAATACCCTAGTGTATGACTGTATCAAAGACATATTACTTATGTCTTTGCTCATTGTTGAATGTTTCATTCGGTAGTTCAATGTTAGTGTTTTGTTTTGATTACTTCATTGTTATGAAGAACAATGCTTTAGTGAGCAAATTTTGTGCACCAGTGCATTATATAGCTTAAGGACAATCCCCAAAGTAGAATTTCTGGAAAAATGTACATGCAAATTTTAAGACGATGCCATTATTGCCTAATTGCCTCCACAATGTTGTTCTGAGTATCACTCCCATCAATGGTATATGAGAATATATTTTCACCAGCCATTCATGAAGTTTAGATAGTTCAAGCTTAAAATTTCTGTGACCTCATTGTTTTAGTTTTATTTCTTAAATGATATCTGGTAGTGCCAGTTCCCTTCTTTATTCCTTGCTTTCAGTTTGTGGGATCTTAACTGAGATGATGCTGGCTGAAGTCCTAGCCCCCAACTCATTTTTTCCCCTTCTCCCTTATGCTGTAGGCATTTGAGACTTTCCCCTAGCCTTCACTATGCCAAGACAGTTCCCACTGCGGGACCTTTACCAGCTGTTCTCGCTGCTGAAATGTTCTTTCCACAAAACAGCACTTCTCATGGGACACTTCATATTCTTAACATTATTGATATTTTAAGGACCCCAAGAATATATGCAGGGTACACCTACCAGTATTCACCACATTCAAAATTAAAACTAAGATATATTTTAAGTAATTCATTAAGATAACAATAATGAATCTCATGTGTTAATGTATATACCTTTTATGAAGAATACCTATATTTTCC